ACAGGACATAGATGTTTTTTAATGCAAACATACCTAATTTTCTGCAGAGAAACGCCCAAATAGCCTTCTTATAAATACTGTCTGATAATTCTGAGTCTAAGTTGTCAGCCTTCCATGTACTGAACCATGATAGATATGAGCGAAACACAAATACAACATCACTTTGCGACATATGGTTGGTTTTTCTACAAGAAAAAGATTTAAAAAGATCTTTGAAACTAGAGCTTTTCAACATGCAATGGATTTTTTGCATCTTTTTGGAGACATGATCCCTTGGTGTCCTAATGAACGTAATGGTAACAAGTAAGTCCCGTTTCTTGTCGTGCTATCGACGTAATACCGTTGTGATAGAGCGAATTTCGTATGAGTGGGAAACGGACGGTACTGTACTGTGACCGTAATCGTACTGTAACCAAATTCTAGTGCCCCATTGTTTCGCCAAAATTGTGAAGGCCAGGTCCGGTAACTGTGCGGTTACCGTGCGGTAACGGTGTCCCACTCATACGAAATCCGCTCTATCGCTGCGCCGACGGAAACTGACAAGTCCGAGCCTAGCGGTTTTCCCCTAAAACCCCTTACGCATGCTAAATACGGCCTCAATATATCAAGCGCATATGTTATATCAAGTACATACTTGACAGCAATGACGGGTCTTGTATCTGAAATTACAAATACAATGGATGAATGAGATAATGAAAGAGCTAACGAATGAATGATTGGTAAAAGGACAGGCAGACGAAAAACAAAATGGACTGCACCATCGCTAGTGTGTAGATTTAGSGGYATTGAGAATACTGAGAAGATAGAGACATCGCCTGAGTTTCAGGCTTACGCGGTGGCTCGAGGAAAGGTGGGGTGGGGGAGGGGAGGGTTAAATGAAGCTCTCCCTTTTTCGTTCCCCTTCTTTTTTCCATCGAGAGAGCCTGGAAATAAGGATAGGAAAGACGTTGCCAGATATCTGAGATTTTTAATCGCGTCAAGAATTGAGTTTTATATATATATAWTATATAYACAACTGTACGTGTCATTTTCCTATCAGATACCTTTTTTGACWTCAATCAATTTCTTCAGTTCATCTGCATTTTCTTTCCACTTGTGAAAATGATAGGTATTAATAAACAAAAGCGGTTGGTTAATTTCTTCATTTTGTATCTCCTTGCCCAGAGGCAACATCCAAACATCAAGTGCAATTCCACATCTATGGAAAACAACAACAACAACAACAATAAAAATGATCTGGGAATTAGCCATTTTAGGAACAAACATTACCAAAACAAAGTATGTATTTGTCAAAAGAATTGTTGAAAAATTTAAAAAATAACATTTTTCACAGCCAATCAATCCATTTAAATATTTTCTTCAGTTGGYCTCATCCCTTAAAACTTTCTTGATACATTAATAGGACCAAATAAATTACAACAATGACATTAGGAGTTGAGCCAAATGCTGAAATAATATTATAATCACAATTTATGATCACRATAATATCAATATTGTTTGATGGGAAGAACCTAACGTTAGTTATAATTAAACACATGGAGAACTCATTTTGATAAATTCATGGTACCTAAATCTCTTTTCTTTAGCAAGAGTAGCAACAACTGTAGCTCCYCCAAAGGAATGRCCTAACACTGCACATCTTTCAAGGTCAAGGCGACCCTAAYAAACAGATTTAAAGCAAGGTCTTTATAGAAGCAATTTCCAGTCTCATGACAATTGTCTCCTTCACGGTTACCTGCGCCATCTTGAAAGGTAGCCTTTGTATCGAAGCGAGACAACCGTTGAGCGTGCAATGATAGAAACCTGTGAATAATTGTCTGTAGGCGTGAAAGAAGGTTTTTATCATTTCAAGATGGCGCAGGTAACCGTGAAGGAGACTATTTTCACCCTTGTTGACATATTCTTAAATAATGAATGAATTAAATAAAAAAGCAAGAAATCATTACAATTTTGATATAAATATGGTTCACCTTGAATTGCTGTAAATCAAAGTCTTGTGTGCTTGGCATGATATTTTTAGGTAGCGATCCATCTTGTAGATGTTCAAGAATATCAATTGCAGATATGCATTCATCACGTCTTTGACATACCTGGAATTGTCATGAAGATATTGGCTCATCACATTTATAAGAGATTTACAGGAGGTATGCTTCTAGTGCATTAATTGGAAAAGGTATAGGAGCACTAAAAAAACTTTTTGTAATTTTGTAATATTCTATTTTAAAAAGGGCTACTTGGACGAAAACTGCGAAACATTAGAAGAGACTTGGATATCAAATAGACCTATCTATATGGGTCTAATAATAATGAAGCAACAGATTTCAAGAAGATATTGATACAAATCCTTAATAATTTGGGCAAAAAATGTTGGAGTAGATGACGTACTCAGTCCTTTTGTTCTTCCATCTTWTGAATCAAAATTTCTCTGACGTGGGATAATTCCAAAACAAATATTTTCCCGCAATTGTTTTTAATAGATATAAATGAGTCATATAATTGTATTGTGTTTTGAGATGAGGGCATATTCATGCAAGTAGCACTTTAATTCATGGATCTTCAACATACCTGAGTATTCCTTAATTTAAATTCATCATCCGTGTCAGTTTTCTTGTAAAATGTAAGCCATTCTTCAGTCTTTTCTCCTGAATCACTCTCTTTAAGAACATAAGATGCACAAGCTGACTTGTCTCTGAGAGATAAATTTTATGCTTCATAGTTTAACTTATATAATTGTATAAGTCTGATAAATAGCATATCAATAAATACACCGATACTCGGTAAATATCTGATAATTTTTAATATCAATATTAGAGAAGG